TCAGTTTCAGCAGCGACTGAATCTGGATGCCAGTTCCGACTTACATACAGATTCAACTTAAGAACAAACCTACAGTCCCTATCTTGTACGTAACCCGGGGACTGCCTGTAATGCAATGAGAAGATCTTGACAAAGTGCAGCCTTCTGCAATGCCAGATCTTCTTTACTGCATCTTGAATTAAAAGTGAAACATGAAGAGCACTGATAATAGAATCAAGTGAGAGTTTTGGTTCGTGGATTGTTGTCCTCCATCATCTTTTACCCCAGTTCAACACTCAAGTGGGTTTGTTCTCCTTGCCCTTGTTCACTGCTCGTGCCTCATTGTGTGATATTTTATATCAGAAATGTATGAATAATGAGTGAAGGCTCTCATCTTCCTCTGCCCTGAAGCACACAGAAGTAAACAGTATGTGCTTAGCCTCAAACTTAGACCTCTGTGTAAATGTTGCATCTCGGTAAGATTGTTCAGTGGCTATTGTATATTGTGAATATCTTTATCCTCTTTTGAGTTATGTATCAGTTAGTGGGGGAAATATGTTTACCTATCATTCTATACATTCTGTTCATGTACTGATATGGACAGAAGTGGGGTGATGTTCATAATGATCTTTTGATGTTTTCTTTTCAGTTCTTGTACTGATATGGACAGTAGTGGGGTGATGTTCATAATGATCTTTTGATGTTTTCTGTTAGAGTAGGATGTTTTCTATTTGTTATGCTTCAGCGAAATAAAAGTACTTCATGTGCTGTATTTCAATTATTCAGTCAAGGTTTTATAGGACATAAAATATCAAAGTTATATCTTACTATATATTGTAAAATGAAAACAAGCTAAAGGATAACAATTTTCCTTCTCTCCTACCAATGGCCTGCTGCTGGCAAGACAAGTTGTCGCCAGTAATGGTCAGCTCCCAGATAGGAGCTCTGTTTATGGGATCTTCTTTTCTCCCCTCCCTAGTTTACCATCTTTTGCAGAGCAGATGATAATGAAAATTGCCCCAAAGGTTTTCATAACTCTTCTTCACGCTTTAGGTAGAAGGGACATGGTGTTATCAAAAGTTGTCTTGGGATTAGACTGGTCCAGCTGTCACAGAGGCAAATTTGTGACACACCTATGAAGGTGGAGTTCTTTGCTTCCCCATGTGAAACTATGGTCACCAGTACTGCCCATCTCCGATTTTCTACAATGCACATACTCCCTTTCTTGAGCTATATTTCTTTTTGAACCATAACCAATGGTTTTGTAACTTGGACTAATTGTTTACTGTATCATTTTCAGTTTAATTACTTTTAATGCCAGCAATACTGTCGCTGATTCTGCAAAGAGACCTGTTTAGCAAGCGCCTATTGAATAGTTCACTTTCACCAAAGGAAATTAATAGCAGGTTTAAAACACAGTTCTTCACCCAGTGCACAGCCCACCTGTGGAACTCCTTGCCAGAGGATTTTGTGAAGACCAGGACTTTAACACGGGTCAAAAAAAGAGCTAAATACATTAATGGAAGATAGGTCCATCAATGGCTGTTAGTCAAGATGGGTAAGAATTGTGTCCTTAGCCTGTGTTTTCAGAAGCTGGGAATGTGTGACGGGATGGATCAATTGATACCTGTTCCGTTCATTCCCTCTGGGTTACCTGGCATTATTGATACCTGTTCTGTTCATTCCCTCTGGGTTACCTGGCATTGGTCACTGTCAGAAGACAGGATACTGGGCTAGATGGATCTTTGGTCTGACTCAGTATGGCCATTGTTATGTTCTTAGAGATTCAGTATCATAGATGCTTATTTTTGGCTGAGATAAATATTTTTCCACTTTTATATAAAGGTTTTCCTAAATCTTATTACCAGCCACAGTAGTTCCACATATTTTATTGTATTTTCTGAGAGTTTTTGAAGGTAGGTATTGTAGGTATTCAGCTGTTTCCTAGTATACTTCCTTCCTTGGTTACCAGAGTAAATTTTCTTGTTGTGAAATCACTTTTCTATTATCACTACAATGAGGTTGCTCGAGATGTACATCTAAGATATTTTTGGGGGACAGTCAACAACAAATTATATGTTTTTTTTCACAGTTCATCATGTCTTACCTATTTTAACCAAATGTTACACCCTTAGATCAGAACGTTTTCCCATGAGATAGCAAAGGTATTCAAAGTGTAATTAATTATGTAGAATTACAGCAAAGCAATAGTTTGTATAACTAAATTCATCTGGGACTATTCAGATATGTAAAGTTACTCGTATTTTTGGGAAGTTATTCATGTGTCATGGCATTGTCCTATTGGTTCTGGTTTGTCATTTCCAGCCAAGGGGAGTCGTGGGAAGCAGCATAGCCTGGGCTGCTGTTTCCCGTGGCTCCCCTTGACTGTAAATGGCAAACCAGAGCCAATGGGAGCTATGAGGCTCTGTGACTTTGGGGCCTTTAGCTAAACAAAGTTGCACAGGCCCGTTAACGACTTTCCCACACAAGTCCGGCAGCCCATTTTGAGAAACACTGTTTTATAGAGACAGGGAATGGAAAAATAAGAGTTCTGGAAT